TAATGATTTCCATCCAAAGTCAAAAGTGACTAGTCTATCAAAGACTAAAATTTAAACCTTAATAAGTTTCCTTCCCAATAGTATTCCTCACTAAATTCACCAGTCTATAATATATATGGCATCTATGACTAAATAATCAGTCTTATATACTAAAATTCAACCGGTTATAAATTTCCATTCAAATGTCAAATAGTGCATGTCTAGTAGGGACTAAAATTCAGTCTTTAAAAAGTTTCTCATCCAAATAACAAATTGGTGTAGCTGTAAGAATGACTAAAATTCAGTCCTTAATAAGTCTCATACACAATCAAAACTGACGCACATTTATCAAGGACTGAAATTCAGTCCCACATAACTTTCGCTTCAAAGTCATAGTTGGCTTTGGACTATTCGAGACTGAAATTTAATCCCCAATGTGTTTCTCGCCAAACCTGAACCGGCGCAAACAAATTAGGGACTGAGTTTTAATCTCGAATAAGTTTGGTCAGTCTCTAAATATTCACGCAATAAAATCAGTCCTAGATAGTATTCGAGACTAATTCATCGGTCCCAGATACATGGTATCTAAGACTGATCAATCAGTCTCTGATATTTTAGTCACAAAAGCCCCTTTTTCTTGTAGTGTCTTTATGTTCTTATTTTGATAATAACATAAAGCTTAAGAATCTTAAGAGTTTTATACAAAATAACTAGCATTCTACATCAAGTTGATTCATTGTTGGTGTCTCTAAAGTTCTACATTCTTCATCAACTTCCAAGCCTCCCAAGAGGATCCAAAGAACTACAAAGGTTGTATTTTTCTATTCTGTGGTTAGTGTTGTTTTATTTCAAAACTTTGCAAGATGATCATTGGTGGGTTATAAACTTATTTTATGATATTCAAAATACAAAGTCTTCCGTTGCTAATATTATGTTTTTAAAAGTAGTTTTTAAATAAAAACCCAACAGAAGTTTCGCGATCAAACCGGCACGACACTACGAATCGTAAAAAATGAATTTTTGATAAATTACTTTTTAGCCTAAAAGATCTAAAGGAAAGTCGTAGTATTCGTTAAACCGAGAGCGTGAATATAGAGAACGCCCGAATCTGACTTCGTGAGAGGAAGCTACGATTTTTCGAAGTTTCAGCGCAGTGGTGCGGGCATAGAAATCGAAATACTAATCGGTTGATCTTAGCTGAAACAATCTAAACAAAAATTTAAGATCTAATTAATAGGAGTCTGTCGATATAAAGACAGTCGAGAATGGACATCGGACGAGAGAGTTATGAATTTTAAACGGACTTTAACAGTCTAAGCATGTTAAAAATATAACTTTAAAAAAATGTCAAAATTAGCCGATGGAGTCTAAACGAAAGTTTTAGATCTCGTCGATAGCTACGTGTGGATATAAAACGCATCGAAAACGAAGCTCATATAAAGAAGTTATGAATTATTTAAGAAAACAGAAAAATATGTGAATGATATGTTCATATAAAGAAGGTATGTTCAGTTTGGGTTGCAGAGTGGAGTCATTATGGATGTGGTTTGGAATGGTTATGTTTGTATAGAAGTCAAACATAGTATAAGGTTCTCAGATTTCAGACAAAGAAGTTGGAATTTTTTTGTATTGGTTAAGGGCGGCGTGTTAAGGTTCTTTTCTCCGTCAAGGCACTTGTATTATGCAAATATTGGGTTTTGGTAGCAGTATTAGAAGGTGGCCGTCTGTGTGAGATGATTTCTCAGTGCTATTTTGCATTCAGGAAAGTTCAGATGGGGCCGAGTTGTGTAATAGAGTGATTTGTAAGGAATGATTTCGAGGACGGAATCTAATTTAAGTGGGGGAGAGTTGTAACACCCGTTTCCCAGATCGAATTAGTATAAGGCACCAAGGAGTCAAAGGCATGATTTTTGGGAAAAATCATGTGTCACGACGTGACGAGCCAAATCAGGAACGTGTGCATTTAATGAGTGTCACAGCGTGGCGGTAGTATAGTCATGACGTGGCATCTGTTCTGGCCCAAGCCCATGATATTTTAGGGTTCCCTTTGTATTTAAACCCCATTAACTCGATTTCATGGGTTCATTATCAGCCTCCATCACCCTCAAACATTAGAAAGCCCTAACCTTAACCTCTTTTGGTGGTTATTGACTCATTTTGGTGTTTTTGGTAGCTTGAAGAAGAAGAAGAAGAAGGTGTTCTAGAGTGTTGATCCAATAAGGAAACATCATCATCATCCTCTTATGCACATTCTGGACCTTTTTAAGTGATCAAGTTCCCAACTTTTGATTCTCCTCACTCTAGATCTATGTTTTATGGTTTGTATGGTTTGAAGATATAAAGTTGACAACTTTATGGTTTCTCTAAGTCCCAAGAGCATTATATCTTATAGATCTATGAAGTGGTGGTGATTTGGGAACCTTGCATGAAATCTAGGTCATATTGCATCTTTTGACCTAGATTTGGGGAAGTACATGCATGGGGTATGCATCTCCATAAAGTTTGCATTTTTAGGGATCATTAGGGCCCTAAAGCCCTTCTGAAAGCTTTAGACCGAAGACTTCATGGATTAAGTGCTTAATGGTTAATTTCATGCATTAAGTTAGCTTTTTGGACCTTAGAATTGAGATCTAGGCTTAGAGGGATGTCTCAATGGATAAAGTCGGAAACTTTATCCATTAAGACCATGAGAAGTATCAGATTTGAGTTTTTGAGCCCAATAAATGGATGGAAAATGGCTTAACCCCTGTTGAACCCAGTTCCCATGACGTGGCGTTTGGTTTCCACAACGTGGACTCTGAAGTCAACTTTGGACAGTTGACTTTGATCGTGGACTTGTTGACCCGGGTTGACTTCTAGTCAAGATTGATGGTTTTAGTGTGTAAACTAAGGATAGACCTGGTATGCTTTGATAGGAGTGTTGTATCATCTTTTGCGAGGCTTTTGAGCTGTGGTTTAGTTGATTATTTGAGACAGATGAGTCTTCTCACTATACTATATAGGATGCTAGTTGTCTTTGTGATACTTGCATGGAAGACCCCCGAGGTAGACCGTGACATTTGTATAAAAGACCATGGGGTAGCCCATGACACTTGGATGTTCGACCATGGGGATAAACCATGACATTTCAAGGAAAGACCATGGGGTAGCCCATGTCAGTTCATGGAAAAGACCATGGGGGTAGCCTATGGAAATTGTATGCATGGTATGTGGTATTTTTGGGAAAATCACTAATTTATGCTTACGGTTTGTGGTTTAATATTTTTAGGTACTTCTAGTTCCAAAAGGAAGGGCCCGACTTGATGCACATCATCCCCTAATGGCTTTTTCCGCATTGATTATTATTGTTTTATTCTGATGGTTGAAAGATACACTTTAATATGATTGACTTCGGAACAATTGTTTGTATGTATTTAATGATTTAAAAATAAAAATTTTACTACTATTTTTGGGACGTTACAGAAAAGTCGGGAACTTTTCAAATTAATGGAGGGCAAATTCTCCATCACTCTAAGACTTGAACACTATAGATGCATGGCTGATCTCCTTGGGCGTGTTGGAGAGCTTAAAGAAGCCTACAATCTTATAAAAAGTATGCCAATGAAACCAGACTCGGTTGTATGGGAACCCTTCTTGGGGAATGTAGTTTTTATATGAATCTTGAGGTGGGAGAGATATCAGCTCAACATCTGTACAAACTAGAGCCTTGGAACCCGGGCAATTATGTATATATATATATATATATATATATATAGATATATAGATATAGATATATATATATATATAGATATATATATATATATATATATATATATATATATATATATATAGGGCGGTGGCAAGGGCTGAGCAAATTTTTTTTTTAGGGTGTTCCTTATAAAATAATTGAAATATATATATATATATATATATTATATATATATATATATATATATATATATATATATAGAGAGAGAGAGAGAGAGAGAGTGAGAGAGAGAGAGAGAGAATTACAAAAAAATGGCCTCTTAAATACAATTATATATATATATATATATATATATATATATATATATATATATATATATATATATATTAAAAATAAATCTAAATAAGAAAAACTAAAAACTAAATTAAATTAGCTGAAAATGGAATCATGCAAATTTATAAATATTGAGGTGTGAAATATGTAAATTTTGAAAACTTACTTATATTAAAAGAATTTAACTTCCAAATATAAGGGGTCAAACTGTAACTTTAAAATAGTTGTCCCCGCCCCGCTCCCGAAATAAGTTATTTCCCTCGTCCCTGCCCCCGCCCCCGAATCTTTTATGTACATAGCCCCCGATCCCGCCCCCGAATACCTTCATCACCCCCGATCCGCTCCCGTTCCCCCGTTTTATAGGCTTAAAATTTACTTTTTTTGCTAAAAAATTTGTTATATTTTAGGTTAAAAAAACTATTTTTCGTAACTTTAAAATCTTAAAATCTAGTTTTTTAACAACTAAAAAAATAGAAATCCGACATTACAAATTCAACATTACAAAACGACAAATTCAAAAAACTTACAAATATAAAATACGACAAATCCAGCATTACAAAAATATGACATATCCAAAAATATATGACCAATTATCGTGAAGTAGAAGAAAGTGAAAAAAGGTCTGGATGCCCGACTATATATAATGTTGGTAGACCCTAGCCTATATATGCAAACTTGCTCAGCCAAACCAAACAAAACAGCAACATAATAAACCAATTTTATAGACACAACACATTACAACATCCTATCCGTGAATGATGAAATTTATGTTATCGAACTATGAATGTGTTGTTTCTTATTTAATGGTGCAATGCATGGGGGACAAAAGTTAATATATGTGCAGTATGCATGAGTGGTATTTTACTTAATTAATGCATGCAAAAAAGGACTTGGTGCAAAATTAAGGAGGGTTTCCAATTCCATCAAGTCCTAACTTTAATTGATTTTTACACTTATTAACCTTAATTTTCTTCCTTTTCATTTGTCCAAGTGAAGTCATCTATTGCCAATGAAGCATGGACAAGAGCCAGAGCACCCCTTCCTCGGTGTAGGCCGTTAAAAAGTTCATTTCGATCCCAAAAACATCAAGGTCTTGACCACCACCACCACGGCTGATAAACAACAGAGAGATCTCACAGTTAATGCTGGACGTGGCAAAGTTGACGAAGGGGCATGCAAGTGGGAACTCAGCTATTTGAGCATATGCAATTGCTCTCCCTTCAGACCAGTCTATGCAAGTATTGCAATCAAGCAAGTGGTTGAGTATGCAAGCAACTTTATTGGAGTCCTTCCGTGCTATGAGTACCGAAACACGAACCTCCTGTGCTGAAGAAATCGACAATGATGATTTTACCGGCAAGGTTAGCTTGTACTCGGGACCCTCTAAATGATCCGTCAGCCCGGGGACGATCCCATCTGGCGGGCTCAGATTGCCTTCACGGAGGGCAGGGCCCGAGGCAGTTTCTGACAAGAGTAACCTCCCATGGCCTTCGTCTGCATCCCATATATCGATATAGAAGTCCAGGTCACTCAAGGAGATACCTGGAGCTAAGGAAGTTGGACGATGATCCTTTTCGCGTGTGCATAATGCTTTGAATATCTTGCGGTAATTATTTACCAGAGGAGACGCAGATATTGAGGGCCATTTCTTGATGCAAAGACAATTCCACAGGTAATCGTCTTGAGCTACATTTTCCCATTGCTTGCATACTACCATACATGCAGCTAAATCGGTTCCTTCAAGCAGCGGAAAAACAGCCTTTAGTATTATCGACATCTTATTCTTGCCCGCACCAGAATTTGCATTACTCATGGTCGGCTCTTAATATCTTCCTGCAAACATATATATTAATTACATATATATATATATATATATATATATATATATATATATATATATATATATATATATAAGTACAACGTACTCCATCATAAAATTTTATACGTACATCAGTAAGATCGACTAAAAATCCGGAAAACTTTATGTGAATCAAAGAGAAAGTTGCCAAGCAAGATGATGGAAGGATATGTAGCTAATATCCTAGCCTTCAAAATAACCAAATTAAAGGGCAGTAACACATCACAAAATCAGATGACATGCACGATCGATCGGCGGACTAGAATTACTTACTAATAGACTCGATGGTACTGTACGTAGTGCAACTCCATCTATATAATTAAAATAGATTTGAGTTCATAATTATTTCAAGAATGTCGATAACATAACGATGCTAGCAATGCGAATTAAAAATTGTATCATATCAACAACAATTGCTTTAGATCGAACAAACCCACAAATCCCCATAACTGTTTATCAATTTCAACATAAATACAAGCAGAAACAAAAAAGTAATTACTGTTTTGTTAGAATCATACGGTTCTTGAAAGATCGTTACAGAAAATTCATGATATATAGCAAATGCACGAGAGAACAAAACATTGAATTGAATTGAATTGAATGATTGAATCACATTTGCTTTGGTAAAAGAGAAAAAACCATCATGCATATGCATGTACAGATTAATACAACTATCAGCTATGTATGTACGTACATATTAGACATTGGAGTTTACGAGAGAATCAATAATTAATTAGGATCAATATCCTTGAACATTCAAGAAAATTATAATATTACTCAATCGATAGCACAACCGTACGTACGTAATAAGAGCCTTGATGAAAACTTACAAATGCAATATTGGAGAAAGTGCCAAGATCCCTAACTTTAATTATCGCTCCAACGTCTCTCAGATCCTTTACATATGACGTATGTTATTTTGTAAAATGAAAATTATGAATGTGTTCATCAATTCTTCAAACTTCCAATTGCAACCTTTCACCTCTTTTTTATCCAACATATAGCAACCCTTCATCGATTCAGCTTGTCCATTTTAGCCCTTGCATTTCCAGATCTAACTTTTATTTCAGCAGTCTCTATATATAAAAAAGTAAATTTGGTAAATGTTTTATTTAGAAAAATGGAATGTTTTATTTATGTATTAAGCTACCATTTTAAAAACGCTCGTTCCCCATAGAATAAAAACCTGCCTAAAAATGAATTGCAATCATTGATATATATTGTATGGGATTCTTATTATTATGTAACAAACAACAAGTTATTAATTCTATCATACTTATCCATTTTATTCCCTCGATCGTTAATACGTAACAACTTGTTTATTTTTCATACTTGTATTAAAAAGTCAAATTTATATTTCTAATCTTACCAACAACAAAACACCTGTCATAAAAAAAAGATACATATAATCTGCTAAAATTTTAGGGATAATATCATGAAGTTTGAGTTGCTTACATATTACATAAATCAATAAGGACATTTAAGAAAGTAACGATGTCGCTTTCAATTGGATTCGTGGTGTAGTTGGTTATCACGTCAGTCTAACACACTGAAGGTTTGCGGTTCGGACCCGGGCGAAGCCAATTTTATTGCTTTTTGTTTTTCACAGTCCACCCAAAAAAACTACACCAACCAACAATTTGCTCACATTTTTTTTGAAGACTTGAAAATGAATGTCCAAAATTCACACAGACGTGCTTAGAGATAGTCTTAGGTACTGTTTGTTTTTTCGAAGTGAAAATTCATGAAGTCTGCGGACCACCTCTGCAATCCTCTATAACAGAAGAGGTGGAACAAACGGCTGCAGCCTATAATAAGAAACATGTTTGTTTTTTAACATCTGCAGACTGTTGCAGTAAACTGAAATTTAAATAAACTAATTTTATAAACTGAAAATAGTTCTCAAAACCGAAATTTAATAATTCTAGTCTTAAAATATTGAAATAATAATAAAAAGAACATATAAAAAACAAAAATATAAATTTTTTTTTTAAAAAAAAAACTTAAAAAAATGTAAAAGAAGTTAAGAGTTTTATTCTAAAAAAAACTAATTTAAAAAACATTAAAAAAGAAAATAATAAAAAAATTAAAAAAGTATTGCAAACGATGTCTACAAAGTTCGTAAAAAATTACACACATTAAAAAAGATGCAACTGAAATTGAAAATATTATTAATAGAAACGGTAAAAAAAATTAAAAAAATCAAGTTAAAAAAATCGTGGAAACTATAAAAATAAATTGTATCACATCTGTAAATAAAAATTTAAGAAAATCAAAGTTAAAGAAAATAAGTTATACAAAAATTCTTAAAAAACACTTGGAAAAAATGAAAGCTGAACAGGTTAGAAGAGGCAAGTCAAGTGCTGCGCCACGCTGCACATGCGTTTTTGTAGTATGAAACCTTCCAAAAAAACAAACTGCTCCCCCGAAAGGGACATGAGTTTTTTAGTATGAAGCCTTCCGAAAGGGAAAGTGCTGTGCGCCGCGCGTGGTTTGAAGAGTTAGACACTGCCGGCAGTTTCCCCAAATTCAGTTTCAGAAAAAAGGGTTATGATTATTCAAGCACCACCAAAATTATGAAGAAGCAATGTTTAGAGTTGGAAGGAGTGTTGAGAAAATCATGGTACCGGTTAAGATTATCGGTTCGTTGCCCATCTAGGGTTCCCACTTGGGATGCCATCGTCCTCACCGCTGCTAGCCCTGAGCAAGCCGCACTCTACGAGTGGCAGCTGAAACGAGCTGTACGGTTGGGTCGGATTTCGGATTCCACTGTTACTCTTGCCGTACCCGATCCCGACGGTCATCGCATTGGTTCAGGCGCAGCTACTCTCAATGCCATTCTTGCCCTAGCCAATCATTACAACGCTTCTCAAGTAACCTACTAAACTCAGTATTTAACATCATTCATTCATTCATTCATCATACTCAAATCCAACAAACTGATTGATTACATAATAATTAATCTCTTTCAAAACTCACATCCAAATGCTTATTAACCACGATTTTCGCCTGTTGCCAATTGTTAACTAATTATACTTCTTCAGCTTCAACTCTATACTAAACGTTTATGCTTCTTTCTGCCCGCATTTTCTCATTTTTGTTATTAGGATGCTACATTTGCTCAACCAATGCTTCTGTTTTGACTTTTTTAATCAGATGAGCTTGCACCTGTAATTACTATTTCAGATTTTTTTTTTTTTTTCACAAGGAATTATAAGATTTACTGGAAAACATTACCATATCTTTTGCTATTATAGATCAAAAGTGCATTTTGGTTACTGGAGAAGGGATGAAACATGACTATGCTATATCTTTGTCAAACCATGAAAGGCATTTCGTATATTCCAATGATTTTTTTTTTCATGCTTTCAAGTGCCTTTGTCTTTATTTTGAGTTATCAGATTCCTCAAGTTTGATTCTTGCTACTGCATAATAGCAGCTGGCTTTAATGGGATTACATTTATGCTCATCAGGTAGCAAACAACTGCAGTGATGGATCTTATATACTACCCGATGAAAGCTCGGAAAATGAAGTTTCCACCTCAATGGTTAGCCTCATAAGGAAAAAACATATACTACTTCTTCATGCGGGTGGTGACTCCAAGAGGGTCCCATGGGCTAATCCCATGGGGAAAGTCTTCTTGCCACTTCCATATCTGGCAGATGATGACCCTGATGGACCGGTACCCTTGCTTTTTGATCATATACTTGCAATAGCTTCTTGTGCACGACAGGCTTATAACAATGAAGGTTACTCTTCTGTTTTAGTTACACGAGACAAGATTTTTTAATCTTCCAATAACAGTTTTTGAAAATATATTATATTCATCATCTCCAGGTGGGCTATTCATCATGACTGGTGATGTGGTTCCATGTTTTGATGCATCTGCAATGGTTCTTCCTGAGGATACATCTTGCATCATAACTGTTCCTATCACTCTTGATATAGCTTCCAACCATGGTGTGATTGTGGCATCCAAAACTGGAAACTCGGATGAAATTTGTTCAGTATCTCCTGTAGCAAATCTACTTCAGAAACCTAACATGGAGGAGCTTACTAGACAGCATGCAGTTCTTGATGATGGTAGGACATTACTTGACACCGGTATCATATGTGTTAGAGGTAAAGCATGGGAAGACCTTGCTATGCTTTCTTGTATGAGCCAACCCATCATCTCACAACTAGTGAAAACTAAAAAAGAGGCAAGGAGTAAGGAAATCATATTCGTTTATCTTGTATTGATACCAACTTTGTGATTACCTTTTTTCACTTGTCCAGATGAGTTTGTATGAAGATCTTGTGGCTGCTTGGGTACCCTCAAGGCACGGATGGTTGTGTTCAAGACCTTTTGGTGAACAACTTGTGAGGAGTTTGGGGAAACAGACCATGTACAGCTACTGTGCTTGTACGGTGAATATTGTTTGATTGATTCCATAAAGCTTTTTTTTTTCCCTTTTTAGTTAATTATGAAGATTTTACATGCAGATGATCTGTTGTTCTTGCACTTTGGAACATCAAGTGAAGTTTTGGATCACTTGAGTTCAAGACTTGTAGGGCGAAGGCATCTGTGTTCCATTCCTGGAACAACAATGTCTGATATTGCAGCATCTGCCATCATAGTTTCTAGTAAAATCTCACCCGGGGTATCAATTGGTGAAGATTCTCTTGTATATGACTCATCGGTTTCAGATGGAATACAAATCGGTTCCCTCTGTATAGTAGTTGGAGTGAACATACCAGAAAAAAAGTTCCTCCTTCCTGATCGCCATTGTCTTTGGGAGGTTCCTTTGATAGGAGGAATAGGAATAGGATTAGGATGCAGCGAAAGGGTTATTGTGTATTGCGGCCTTCATGATAATCCCAAAAACCCTCTTTCAATTTCAAAAGATGCTACTTTCTGTGGGAAACCATGGGAGAAGGTTCTACATGATTTGGGCATACATGAAAATGACTT